ATAAAATACATATGATTACAGTGGTTAACCACACTAAACTCAAAATACCAGTTTAATTTCTGTTTTAAAGTTTACATATGAGCTAAAAAGACTGCGTGTGTGACTCCACACAGAATCCACGCACTTTTGACGCAAATAAATAGTTCCCCTTGTGAGATTAGTCGCAATAAGCGTAGGTTGTAGATGTCATAAACTCTTTCTGATGCATTAATATATTAATGCTGTAATGTAATGAACAGCAACAGTAAAGGCACATTTATATTTTGGGAAGGGACTGGGCAACGTGCTAGCTACTGACCGGTATTAATTATTATTATGGTAATGATGCGACCACGTTTAGCCCTCGGTTGTTTTTCTGATGTCGTTTTAGCTTTTATTAAATACTCAATAAAAAGAGTGTAAAGTAAATTACGCGTGCCATTTATAAATACCCCAGCTTACTTTGATCAGATAAATAATCCAGTTTCCATTTTTAAAACATATAAAAGAACTCACGAGCTTTAATTTTACGCATAATTCTGAGTTAAAGTTCAAAAAACAAACAGACATGAGCACAGAAAAAGCGCAAAACACATCTTGAGGCATCTCGAGACTTTCCGCTTAATCAGGTTCTGCAAATCTGAAGAAAGCGATCATCTTACCACTTGAGCGACGGACAACATTCTCCAAAAAAGTGTTCTGTGGTGCCACCAGTCCTCTTTTTCCCCCGTGCATTCTGCGGCCGGGCAGCGTCGGTCAGGCTCGCGGAGTTGGTGGAAGCTGGTCGTTAAAGTGATGCAGGCGGTGGGATGGGAATCTATCGGTGGGATGGAGAAGATCATGGTAACGCTGCGCCGTGCCTGACTGGTATGGGTCCTTTGTACCACGGAGCGCTCGCAGTTCTGCAGGCTCCGCGCTCCCCTGGTCTGCGCCTGCGCACTTGAAAGCTGTAACAATAAAAATTGGCTGGCACAGGAATCTCGTGCGAGATGCCCGGTGCCATGGAAATAGTCACATGCAACAGATGGTGCCCATTGCGCGCGATTTAGGAAATTGAAAACTCTGACAGAGTTACTGTAAGTGAAGGGAAGATAAGTTAAAACTAAAATACAAAAACTGATGAATAGATAGATCAAGAAGAGATGCCTTTTTGTGGAATTACAGCTGATGCTGATCGTATTTTCGCCGATTGCGTCAATAGGCTATCACTCTCATTAAAACAAAGTAAGTTTTATTTACGTTATTAAAAATAAAGGCTCATTAATGTTGACGTTGTTTGTTTAAAGAACCCGTGATATCCAAAGAACAGCTCTCTTCCACAAACGGTTCTTCAAAGTGAAATATATTAATTTGAAAGTTTTAAATTAATTTTAAATTAAATTTTAATATTAAACCATCTTCTTAAATATAGCCAGCTTTGAAACTAATGAAAATTAGTTTTAACATTAATGAAAATTTGTTTATACACATCACGTAGCCTAATCATTTAAAAAGCCACATTTTTTATTACACATTTTTGTATCAACGAGGTCACGCCGTTTTAAAGTGTAATTTTAGATTTTAAAAACCTTAAGAAAAATAGAAAATTAACAAACTAAACTTTAGCTTCTATGAATACAATGAATTAATATTGTTTATAGTATCAGACAAATATGGTACTACTTTTCCATAGCTGATTTTTTTCAATATTGACAGCTATATGACAATAAGTGTATGGTTAAAGCCTGTTTTATCATTATGACACTGTCACTATATGACCTTACATCTTATGTTAAACAAGTATTTTTGGTAATAATCAAAAATGACTGACTGGGTCTGAATCATTGATTTTTAATTTATGCCAAAATCATAAGAATCTTAAGATCATTTTCCATTAAGATATGTAGTAAATTTTCTACAGTAAAAATTTAGAAATTTATTTTGTATTATTAAATAGCATTGCTTAATTTGGACAACTTCAAAGGTGATTTACTCAAAATCTAGATTTTTCTAGATTTTAAAGTATTTGTATCTCAGCCAAATATTGTCATGTCTTAACAGCACATACATCAATGGAATGGTTATTTATTTAGCTGTCAGCAGAGATGATCAAAGTACACACATTCTTTACTCTATAGAAGTACACATGTCTATAATGACGCTGATAAAAATTGACTACACTTTTGTACTCAAGTAAAAGTAAAGAAGTGCGGCCTGAAGTATGTACTGTACTTAAAGGGCACCTTTGGTGAAAAATCTACTTTTCAAGCTGTTTGGACAGACGTGTCATGTGTCTTATTGGGGTGATATAAACACACCCAGTCCTTTTTTTTTCAATTAACAACATAAAAACGGTGGACCAATTGGAGCGGTTTTTAGATCGACCGCAGCTTGACGTAGGAGTGCGCTCCCTCCGCCCACCAATATTGATTGACAAGCACACGTCACCTAATCCTCAGTTTGTCTTTTCACATCTGCCATTTTCAGCGAGTGAGTCAAAGCGATGTCACTAAAGGAACACTATTATTAGATGTAAGGCTCATTGGGCTCAACACAAGATCAGCATTAACCACATGATTGCTGTAATCGGAATCGGAACTTAGTTTGTTTGTATTTAGGTTTGTACACTAGTGTACTTTTCATTGCGTCTATTCTTAAACTTCAGCCGTTTACATTTCTTGAGTTCACTGAAGCTCCCTGTGAGTGTGATCTTAACTAGGTGTAGCTCTAAAGTGCGAGCGCCTTTGCCTCACGTGAGTGTCGCTCCATTGGAAATAAAATAAGAAACTTGCATGCAGGTCATACACCATAAGTCCCACTCACCGATGCGCAACATCGCGCCACGCAGTGCCATGCATTTTAGAATTCTAAAAATAGGTTTCTATGTGGGTACACACAGCAGCGCTTCAAGTCGGCGGCTGTCCACGGCGCCCAGCTAGGATTCGGGACACTTCATGTTTCTGCCGCGCCACAGAGAGCCATTTCTGAATAGTTTCATTTTAAAAAACATGCAAATGTGTGCCGTGTCACAGCTCTAAGTGGGTCATCCGGTGCCTCAGTCAAAGTTAATTCAGTGTGCGTGGTTATTAGTCTCGGTGTACAAGCTTGGAACTTTAAACTAGCACAGAGTTGGCTCTAAAACTATACAAAGACACAAATGTTTGTGTACTCTCTGCTTGGTCTGTGTCCAAGGCGTACATGTACGGCTGAATGCTGATCCTCTCATGTTGCTTCTCTCTCTCTGTCGGCCTGTTTGTTGCCAAACGCTAGCTGGGAGCTCTTGGCTCCGCCCCCTTGTTATGTTGGGTGGGAATTTGAAACTAATTTTCATGTGATGCAACACACCCCTAAAACAGCGAGCTGTGAACACGCCACCAAAATAACAGTTTTTAATACATTATAATAAAAAAAATCGGAATTGTATTTTAAACTGAACCTAAACTGGCACACTCAGAAGAACCATATTATTAATATTAAATCATAAAAAGGGGTAAACTATGTGCTCTTTAAGTAAAAAGTATTAATTATTACTACCTTTTTAGATTCACAGTAGTAACACTGTACATCATGTACAGTTGTGCTCGAAATATCACATATCCCTTTAAGATTTTTAAAATGTGTATAATTTGAACATATCAAGAGAGATCATACAACATTCTTATTTTTTTTTATTTTGTATTGTCCCGAGTAAGATATTTAACATAAAAGGTGTTAATATATTTTACAACACCGAAATTTAGCTGAAATTATTAAAATAACACTACAAACGTTTACATGCTTTTTAATACTATGACTGGCTTCTGCTTTGTGATGGTTGTTTATAAATCTCTTGTTTGTTCTGAACAGCCAAACTGACTGCTGTTCTTCAGAAAAATCCTCAATCTCTTTTGCAGATCTGAACCCTTTCCAGCAGTGACTGTATGATTGTGAGGTTAATCTTTTCACCCTGAGGATGATCTTGAGACTCAAACACAAGGTTTAATGTTACTTTCCATCTCTGGCTGTCAGGTAATGTATACACCTGATTCTCAAAAATACATTTGTGGCTGGTTTGTGATCCTGAGTCACATATTGTGTGTTTCTCAACCAAGTTCCTGGAGGCGCACCAGCACTGCATGTTTTGGATGTCTCCTTTGTCTGTCTAACCCATTACAGGTCTTTCAGTCTCTGCTAATGAGCTGATGATCTGAATCATGTGTGTTTAGTTAAGGAGACATGGAAATGTGCAGAGCTGGTGGTCCTCCAGAAACGTGGTTGAGAAACATTGCTGTATATGAACATTGAATACATTATTATGAATGAAGCTTATTTATATTGTTAAAAGGCTAGACATTTTGACTCAGATCGTGGTAGTTATATAGAAAGAAAGAAAGAAAGAAAGAAAGAAAGAAAGAAAGAAAGAAAGAAAGAAGTTGAATGAATGAATGAATGAATGAATGAATGAATGAATGAATGAATGAATGAATGAATGAATGAATGAATATCTAGCCATCCTTCCGAGTGGCGCCATATTTTAGGAAATGCGGTTGCATTCGGGACGTCCTCCCGCCCCTCCTGCGCCGCTGAAGTCCCCTGTTGAGCAGGCTGAGCGTGGACAGAGCCCCTATTGTTCCCAGCCCACTCCTGCCTAATATGGAATTCGCTTGGAAACCAATGATTTCCTGACACTGACGATGCGTAGCCGCGTAGGGGCGATTGTGGAAAGCTGTTTGGAGTTTGAGGGGGAATAAACCGGGGCCACAGACCCGGCTTTTGGAAACGGTTTAATTGTCGGAGCAGCAGCATGTAAGACAGCGGAATGCAAGTTGTAGGAGTTCTCGAGAGTTTTCATGAAACTGCTGTCGATGGCACCGGATTGTTTTGGAAGCGCGAGCTAACGTGTGGCTCTCCGACTTGACGGATTTTGCGTGCGCACCCGAAAGACACGAGACGCGTAAACTCGAGTGACTAAACTGGTCAAACGAAGATTAAACGCATCAGAGATTGATACGTCAACACTTGGCTACCTGTGGTGAAAACAGTCCTGGACTTGTCCAACTATCATGCCTACACTCAGCTCGAAAAGTAGGCAGAACGCGTTGGAAGCGGCTGAGGATGGAGGCAGTAACAGCGATCCTGTCAATACCACTGCCAAAAAGATGTTGAAATGCGTTGTGGTCGGCGATGGAGCCGTGGGCAAAACCTGTTTGTTGATGAGTTACGCGAATGATGCTTTTCCTGAGGAATATATACCGACTGTGTTCGATCACTACGCAGGTAAGATGGTTTAGCTGAAGCCCCTGTTTATAAAGTGCGGTTTATACAGTATGTTCACCTAATCCTTGTCTGCCACCCCCCACTGCCGTCAACTAGGGGACGGTCCCAAGAATAGCCGTCTGAAAGAGGAGATAACAACTGCCAGAGCGGGGACTGAGGCCCGACACACTGAAGAAGTATACAAACCGAGCGCGCGCGTTATAGTTTTGGATATCGTAAATCTACCATTATACTTTACACCCAAAGTCAAATCTATGCATATATGTACCTTATTCAGCATTTAGACACACACACACATTTTACAATACTTCAAAAATGTCAGAAGGTGTTAAAAATCTCAGTTTTGCATCCGTCTATATCACACATTAAATTGCTTTAATTAGTGATACAGCTTATCTACACTGTTTGCTTTGTTGATGACGAAAATACAGTCTTTGCGTGAGACTGGTGCTGTAGTCAGTGCTGCAACCTGTTGATCAAAGTAACAGGCAGAATGTGAGCTTGTCAGGTGTCATTTGTTTGTATTTATGATGATGCCTACATGTTGATGCTCACAAATGTGTTGTCATCACGCTGTTCTTTGTGGATCACAAGCATGCAGGCTGTGGTTTCTCTACAAGGAAAGTCCCCATGACACTTGCATGCACCCAGAATCCTATGAGGGTCAAGTCCTAATTACACAGTGGCTCACAGGTCAACTTCAACATCCTGTAAGAGTGGATACAGCTTTGTGAGAACAGCATGACATTTCCCCACAACAAAGAAGTTACTTGAAAAACTTTTCAATTCTTTCTCCAAAATCTGAAACCAAAAATCCAAATTGAAAAATGTAAAATATATGCTCCAACCTGTATGGAGTGCTACAAAAGTACTATGTTCTCAATGCAGTATATGCTTTTATTATTAAAATAAAGTGTTACAACTTTTACAGAAAGTAATGAAAATATAGGGAGGAGAAAGATTCTGTCGTTTTATTTTATATTTACACTTTGCTAAATCTCTCATTCAGAGTTTTCTGGTGATACCACAATGGCCGAGAGTGACACATTTTTTCTGGTGCTGTATAAAAAAACAGAGATTCTTGATCCTAATTAGCATAGACTATTAAACACAACCATTTCGAATTTTAGCCCTGGAGCATTTTAGGGTGTGTTCATACTTTTGGTTGGTTTGGTTTGAGTAAAACTGACTGCAATTGCTCTGTTAGTGCAGTTCACTAATAGAGCAAGTGTGAACACTTATGCACACCAGACACCAACAGATTAAGACCATCTCAAAAGATGCATCTGCATCTGCTATGATTTTTGTGTGAATTGACAGAAATATGAACATAACACAAAACAAACCTGGTAATACTGCTCATTGCAGTATGGTAAAGCATGCAGCAAAGCTTTGCTTTTGGTTTATGAGACTGAAATTGCTGTTGCTGTTTTGACTTTTTTTATACACGGACACCATTGTTTTGGATGTTCAGTTTGTTAGAAAGTATACATTCGTGTTCCAGTATTCAATTTAGATCAATCATCCACCAAAATAGACAGAAAACAACTCTGTGGGCTTACTGTGGCTTTTTTGTAGCTCCTGTTATACTACACTATCATTTTGAGCAAGACTCACAGTTTCAATTGTTCTGAATTGTTCACAGTTTCATATGTTCATATTATTCTGAAATATGTTTTTCTGACCAAATATGTTCTCTTGACCTGAATTTGTTCTTCTGGCTTTTGCTCCAGTTTATTCTATAATTCATTACAAGAGGCATTAGCACATCGTATTTTACGTATTGACAAATTTATTAATTGTTTAGAGATTGCATTGGACAAAGCCTTGTTCTTTGGTTGATTGGGTCAGTTGACTCTTCACCCCAAGTAAAACACTTTAGAGCTTGTTCAGTTAGGCCAAGACCACCTCTATAAGGTGGTCTCTCAGTGAGTCTTTTTGTGCAAATCAGGGGTCTAATTTAAAAACTTGCATAAGAACCTTCTCAAAAGTAAATGTACTGCAGAATAAATGCAATTTATATAGAAATGATTATGGCTCATATGATGATTTAAAGTGGTTTAATTAGGTCAATATTTAAGTTATACAGTATATGTTTAATTAAAGTTTACTTTCAGCTGGGCACATTCTTCTGTTCAATTTGTGCCATGATTATAATAGAGACCCCTTATATGTCCATATATCAGGGTGTCAGCGGGGTCTGAAAAAGTCTTACATTTCAAAATTAAAATGTTAGGCCTTAAAAAGTCTTAAGTTTACTGAAATATTAGTTGTGGGTCTTAAATCATATTAAACAAATCATAATTTTCCTCTGTCCAAGTAAAGCTACCCAATCGGGCCTCCATTAATCAATCATCAACAATCCATCTTAATAAAACCCCTTTTTTAAAGTTTTTTTTTATTGCAAAGAGATACAATTCAAAACAGCTGTTAGACATTTTTACAGCAAATTCTCCAAATTAAATTTCCTAATTTCCAGGGAAAAGAAAACAATTACACAGTTCCTCATGATAATAACAGATGAATATATCCCTTTACATTATCTTCCATTCATACAAAAACTATTCACAAAAGTAAGAGTGGAAGTAGACATTATATTTATAAATAGGCATCCAACTTAAGGTTTTATAACAGAAATGCATTAGGTTGAATAGAAGTTATACTCAATCAATTTGGACTAAAAGCCAACAAATATGTATTTTTAACTATTTATATAATTGTCTCCACAAATATTATATTTTTCACAAACTTGTTGAAAACAAAAAGTTTTCTTGTTTTGACACAAGTATGTCGCCAAGAAATAATGACATTTGATTTTGTTTTTTTGTGGCAAGCAAAAAATTTTATTCATAATGGTCTTTAAAAGTCTTAAATTTGACTAGATGAAACCTGCAAAAACCCTGATTAATGATTAATCATACCAAAAGGAAAGTAAAAACTTGCCAGGTAAAGGTGCATTCACATCGGACAAATTTCCTCTCTATACTTTGGTCCATGGTGGTGTTATAGTTTATTCCAAGCGACACATTTATACTACATTTATAAAAATTGCCTCATGAAAGTGAACTAAAATTGCTAATTTGATCCAATTCTAAACCCTATCAGAGAACAAGCTACAAGTATGAAAATAAAACATTCTGTTTTTGAGAAAGGAACCAGGAGAAGACACCAGTGTGGACACAGATCTATAATTTAGATTTCAATTTAAATTATGGCTCTCTGATTTGTGAATTTTTAAACTCACTTAAAATGATCAATTTAACTCATAAGAACTTAAAAGCAGGTGTTGTCAAATGATCTTCTATTGCACATTTCTTTCTGATGTGTTAAATGATCGAATATCTGGCCTGTGTCAGAAAAAAGAACACTTTTGTGTTGTAACTTCCTCCAGCTGAACAGTGCTGGGTCAGGACAAACAGACAGACTGAACTCATTCATTCATTCATTCATTCATTCATTCATTCATTCATTCATTAAACCGCCATGAACACATTCAAGGAGTGAGTAAAACTTTTAAACTCTTGGGAATTCTAGGAGTTGGAAAGACATTCAGGGAGTGTCTCTCAGTCGACTCTTCTGGTTGAATTAAGATGATGAGTTATGATGAGGCGGCTGTCCAGAGGATGTTAAATGGATGCCGTCACGAAACAAAAGTTTGAATGGAGACATGTTGGTAATGAAAGAATGTTAATGGAGGCAATAAAAGGCCTGAATGAGCATGGGTTTTTAAAAGTGTTTTCTTTTTCTTTCAATATTTAAATACTTTCTTATTTCCCATCTAAATAAAACGAAGAGACAACTTTAAGTTTGCCAGGAGACTTTATTCCAACTAATTGGAGACAGGGAGAGTTTTGGAAAAACCTAGATTTACAATTAATCTTGGTAACTTTACTTTTAAGAAAATGAAACTATTCTCGTTAAGAATAGAGGGCACACAAAGGCATTTTATTTGGTTTCTTTATAGTGTGCTGGCAAACAGATGTGAAGTCAAACTCAAGTCATGATATGTAAAAGTTAGCAATGCTTAAACACTCACTAGAGACATTATTTAGAGTACATGAAAGTATAGAAAGAGTAATAGAAAGTGAAGAGTCGGAGAGTATAAAGAGAATATTCTTCCAGGGCCAATCAATCAATTGCATTCATATCAGGCCCCGCTACTGTCTCCACATGGAGAGGGGCCTTAACACGGCATCATAATAAAGTAGCAAATTGTCACATAGTGGCCTACTGCCCGTGATATAATGCACAGAGCTCCCATTGTAAGCCAGTGAAAGCTTTACTGTGCTGCTATGCTAGAACTGCTTTTAAATGAAAAACTCTGCATTTGTTCCATTCAGGCTCCAGCAGTAACGGAACAATTTGCAATGAGAAGCACTGGGCATATAGTGTAATCAAATTATCAGTCAAAATATAATTATTGAAACTTTTTCACAATGTATAATGTTTATATCAGTAACTTGTATGTTAATATACACTATTAACACAAATTGATAGTGTGGGGATAGACTGTGGGGAAACCAGAGCATGCGGAGGAAACCTATGCAAACACAGGAAGAACATGCAAACTCCACACAGAAATGCCAACTGACCCAGCCGGCACTCAAACCAGCAACCTTCTTGCTATGAGGTGACATTGCTAACCACTGAGCCACCATGCCACCCACAGCAAAAACAGTAATATAATAATATATAAAAGCATATGATACGAGCCAATTTGAATGTTATCACTTGTTTGATTGGCCATTATCAGTGGTTATCCGGTGATAGAAATGGGCCAGTAGGGGCCTCTTGTGCCTACTAGTAGACTCAGCTCAGTATAATCAGCTATAGATCACATTTGGCTGATTAACCACGAGAATTCTTTATTGCTGATTATTAGCTATTATCAGCAGTCATTATGTAACATTATCATTTGTAAAACACTGTATTTGCTTATTTGGATGCTCAAGAAACATTTATTAATATTTTTATTGTTACTGCAAACAATAACCCTAATT